TCAAACACACCTGTGTTTGCACTCAAACACACCTTGATACAAGTGTGTTTGAGCGTCAGACTTGATGCACTTGGCGGCAAGTGCTGGAAGTTGTGGTTATGGCGTCAGCTGATCGTTGTTTTTGTGTTTTTTTGTGGTTAAAGTTTCGTTTTCTATGTTTGATTGTCCAGGCGATTTGAGTTTTCCAAATATCTTCAGTCAACCAAATATTAAGTCAAATGTAATCTATTTTTTGGTAATCTATTAAGTCAAATGTAATCTATTTTTTATCATGCTCAAAATAGGGAAGATCTCTCACTTTATAATATATCAATAGCCAAAGAATTGGCTAAATATCTCCAGTCAACCAAATATTAAGTCAAATGTAATCTATTTTTTGGTTGACTGGAGATATTTAGCCAATTCTTTGGCAATTGATATATTATAAAGTGAGAGATCTTCCCTATTTTGAGCATGATAATCACTTGTTTGAAATTAATTCTGGCAGTGAAAGGAGGTAATGTTCCAATCTCTGGAACGACGTGGCAGTGGATAAAAAGTTAATTTATAATAATAATAATAATAATAATAATTTTTATTTAGGTAAAGGTACATACATAAAGAGATTTTACAAAGTTTGTTGGCTTTATAGATAGAGCTAGTACATACAATGCCTAAAGCCACTATTACACAAAGCGTTTCGGGCTGGTTACGCTTTATGCCTGTCTTGTTGACCAGACCACACACTAGAAATTGAAGGGACGACGACAAATGCCTGTCTTGTATTTGAAGCGGTGTTCTTTGTGATAGAATGTGGTTATGGTTTGTGACAAGTCAGTTTGGGGACGGTTTGGGTAGTCTGCTAAGTATTTATTTAGGAATTTGTCCATTATCAGTTCTATTGTCTTGTTTATGCTAGGTGTGTTTGGTCGGATTTAACTTGGCTAAATATCCTTTATTAACTTGGTGGATTAATAATTAATATTAACTTGGCTTGGTGGATGGGGTGAGTGTTGGGTCAGTCTGGGAGGTGGGTTGGATTTGTTGTGTTAAGAATTTAGGGGATGGTCCAGTGTCTTTTTCTATTGCATTTTCAATGTCAATGACAACCCTGGAAACACAAACTGAAAATGTCTCTATTTTCCGCTTGTTACAACTTGTAATAAAGTTGTTACAACTTGGCTTAACGTGTTTATGACGTATTAGAACGTTGTTACAACTTGCTATATTGGTTGTTATAACTGGTTAGGCGGTGTTAAAACTTGTTCGAACGTTGTACCAACGTCGTAGTTTCGGTGTGTGTTTGGCGGGAAGTGTTTGGATGAAATCTGCATTTCATTGCGAGTTCTGTAGGAGTGGATTACTGTCTGGGGTTGGAGTATGGTGAGTGAGAAACATTTAGTATGTGTAAAAATTTTTGTTGGGCAACTAGCGGTGTTTGATGAAAGACTGTATTGCATGTTGGTGTTGGAGAAGTCCTAATAGTAGTTTTAGCTGCTATGTATATAAAGGATATTGTTTGGATTTTCCAACTCGTCCTCGACTCAAATCCATTACATCCAGCGGTCGATCCAACAGACGCATTCATAATTTTTTACATGCTGTTCATTCTAAACGGGAATTTTCTCGTATATAAATTAATATTATAATATATTAGCATATTGTGCATATATATGTTAGGTTAGGTGTTTAAGTTCTGTTGCCGATTATTTGTATTTGTAGTATGTAGGTAGAGCATTTATAGCGTTGTGGTTCGAACAAAATTCGTCAGCGAAGCACTTGTTCTAGAAGTGTTCGGGCGTCAGCAGTTGTGAGTCGTGTGTAAATCGTTTTTCATTCATAAACAGGGGGTTTGGCGGGTGCATGGAATGGACTTTGGTGTCTTTGTTTAGAAGACGGGCTGGATTTTTCCAGGCTCACCACGGATCATTGGTTTGTTGGCCAGACTCGTGGCTAACTGTTTGGCCACGCAGCCCGTCCTCCAAACAAAGACCCAAAATTGATTCCATGCCCCCGCCAAACCCTCTGTTTACGAATGAAAAACGGTTTACACACGACTCACAACTGATGACGTCCGAACACTTCCGGAACAAGTGCTTCACTGACGAATTTTGTTCGAACCACAACGCTATAAATGCTTCACCCTGTACTACAAATACAAATAATCTGCAACGGAACCCAAACACCTAACCTATGCCTATATATGCAGAATATGTTAATATATTATAATATTAATTTATATTTGAGAAAATTCACAATATATTAACATATTCTGCATATATAGGCATAGGTTAGGTTAGGTGGTTGGGTTCTGTTGGCGATTATTTGTATTTGTAGTACAGGGTGAAGCATTTATAGCGTTGTGGTTCGAACAAAATTCGTCAGTGAAGCACTTGTTCCGGAAGTGTTCGCACGTCATCAGTTGTGAGTCGTGTGTAAACCGTTTTTCATTCGTAAACAGAGGGTTTGGCGGGGGCATGGAATCAATTTTGGGTCTTTGTTTGGAGGACGGGCTGCGTGGCCAAACAGTTAGCCACGAGTCTGGCCAACAAACCAATGATCCGTGGTGAGCCTGGAAAAATCCAGCCCGTCTTCTAAACAAAGACACCAAAGTCCATTCCATGCACCCGCCAAACCCCCTGTTTATGAATGAAAAACGATTTACACACGACTCACAACTGCTGACGCCCGAACACTTCTAGAACAAGTGCTTCGCTGACGAATTTTGTTCGAACCACAACGCTATAAATGCTCTACCTACATACTACAAATACAAATAATCGGCAACAGAACTTAAGCACCTAACCTAACATATATATATGGACAATATGCTAATATATTATATTAATTTATATATGAGAAAATTCCCGTTTTGAATGAACAGCATGTAAAAAATTATGAATGCTTCTCTGGAATCGACTGCTGCAACCCGTTCTCACACCAGACTGTTTAAAGCAGCGGCCGTCGTCCCCAGACACATTCATCAGTTTTAACATACTGTGTATTAAAAATTGGTTTGTTCACATATATAAATTAATATTCTTATACATAAAAATTGTATGTATAGTTTGGCATAGGTTAGGTTAGGTGTTTAGGTTCTCTTGGTAATTATTTGTATTTATAACTTCATGGGCGAAGCATTTATAGAATTGTGGTTCGAATAGAGGACGTGAGCGAAGCACTTGTTCCGGAAGTGTTCGGACGTCATCAGTTGTGAGTCGTGTGTAAACAGCTTTTCATTCATAAACAGGGGGTTTGGCTGCTGAACTAAAGAGTTTGGATCTTTGTATGCGAGAACGGGTTGAAACCAGGATGTAATCAGCCCGTCCTCCAAACAAAGATCCAAAAGTGATTCCATCCACCCGTCAAACCCCCTGTTTATGAATGAAAAATGGTTTACACACGACTCACAACTGGTTTCGTTCGAACACTTCCGGAACAAGTGCTTCACTGACGAGTTTTGTTCGAACCACTTCGCTATAAATCAGCCCGTCCTCCAAACGAAGATCCAAAAGTGATTCCATGCACCCGCCAAACCCCCTGTTTATGAATGAAAAGCGGTTTACACAAGACTCACAACTGCTGACGTTCGAACATATCCGGAACAAGTGCTTCACTGACGAATTTTGTTCGAATCACAACGCTATAAATGCTTCACCCACGTACTACAAATACAAATAATCGCCAACAGAACCTAAACACCTAACCTATGTCTATATATGCACAATATGCTAATATATTATAATATTAATTTATATTTGAGAAAATTCCCGTTTTGAATGAACAGCATATTAAAATTTATGAATGCGTCTGTGGGGTCGACCGCTGGATGTAATGGACTTGAGTCGAGGACGGGTTGGAGTGTGATAACACTTCGCCACGGGGACCTGATAAGTTATAAAGAAAATGATTGTTATGAAGATTCTCAGGAGTCTTGGTCAGAGGGCATATGTGGAGAGGGGGAGTGAAGAGGGTGGAATGGGGGTGTGGGAGTACACCTTATAGTATTTTATAAATAAAATGAAAAAACCTGGAGTTTAACTGTGTTTAATATTGGCCCCACGTTGTCACTGTTCAATCACTGTTCGTTGTCACGGTGTTCAGGCATACTCAGGTTGCAAAGTGATACAAAAAAATATAATTTAAATAATTTAAATTTGACCATAAGCATTGCCACTAAAAATATAGATAATTAAGAATACATTATATGCGAAGTACAGATTTATGTATACTATATGAAAGACAAGTGATAAAGAATAAATTAAAAAGGATTCAGAAAATAAATACAGGAAAGGTAAAGGAAATTAAGGTAATGAAACATTTTTAACACAACAGGCAAGATCGACGGGGAGTCCCGGCTAGGCTGGTGTTGGAGCAGTGATCGAACGCAGCCGGCAGTGTCGTCGGCAGCTGTGATCCCAAATCCTACAAGGTAATACGGTCCAGTGTTGGGATAGCCTTGGTGGGGGCCTGGGCTCCCTTGCAGCCATGGTGGGGGCCTGGGCTCCCTTGCAGAGGCAGAGGGGGCACTAGGTGGTATATTTCTAATCGTTCGTGGCACTAGACACTTGGGAATGGGTAGAGTGTGAGTGGTGGCATGCCTGTGACCATAGAGTGGCACCAGGTAGCATCACGCTACACTTGTACTACCAATTATAAATGACCTAATTGCTGCACAGAGTAAAGGGTTTCGAATCTCCTTTGTATGGATACCATCACACATAAATATAACCCATCACAATGAGACAGACATTGCAGCCAAGTTAGCGTGTAACAAAGATGAAGTTAAATTAGATCTAGGTATCCCCATCTCTGCTGTCAAAACTATATTGTTCCAAACACTCAGGTCTGATAGGAAAGAAATTACTGACTCCCAACGACCTGAAAGCACCAGTATAACAAGATATGATTTGTTCAGATCTGAAACTTATGTTTATGGGCAGCACAAGACGTCCACCAGACTGTGCGACACAGTGGTTGCCAGGATCAGGTTGGGTTATGGTTACCTGTGGCAGGTGGCTACAGGTGACGGATCTCCCAATCCTGAGCACTCCAGGTGCAAACTCTGTGAGCAATAACTGGGGCATGATCTCCCGCACTACATCACCGAATGCCCAGTTATTAGACCAGTTGGCATGAGGTACTTGGAACTTTGCAATGACTTCATTCACTCGCGTTTTCTTGAGGATATCCTCGTATTGCACCCAAAATTTGTCAGTGCAGAGTACTGAACATATGGCCCTGTATTACTAACCATCCTGCGAGATGGGGAATTTTAGTATCGCTGCTACCATATTCACTCTTGTGTTCATGATATCCTCATAATGCACCCAGAGTCTGCCAGTGCAGACTGCTGATCACATGCCTCTGTATGACTAACCATCCTGTGTGATGGGGATTTTTAGCATCACGTAGCTAGCTTTTTGACACACTGTACTCCCCTTCATATAGTCTATTTGTGCAGCATTAGGTAGCTGCACAAATGCAGATGTACCTAATGTGTTAATACAAAAAAATACACTTGTGTGTAGAATCAAGTCGTGCCTGTGCACCCGTAGACTCTGCACGTTCTCCCGAGCCTTTCCAACATCGCTAGATTGTTGTACTAAATTGACCGAACCTAACCCACCCGAGGATTGATAAACAGGACATCACGTCAACCGCTGCCGTTTTTGGTACATCAGACTAGCCCGTTCTCTCGAGTTGCCGCATCTCTAGCCTAGCCCTAGCTTAGCCTAGCCTAGCCTAGCCTAGCGACCAACTCATAGATAACATGAATACTTGTGAGCTGCAATGATTTATATTACATTATATTACTGCTGGTTCTCTACTGGGTGTAAGTCGAGACCAGAAACATTCACCAAACAATAATACTTGTAATAGAAGGGAATGTTAATAAGGTGCTAATATGTCAACATACAGAACACGAAACAATATAGACAAATTTGATAAATTTAGATTTATAAAAGACTGGTAAATACTGATTTGTATTGCAGAATTATGGAACAGATTTTCGGGTAATATTATTGACGTGGGAGTGCTGAATTGTTTAAATTAAAGCGTAGGTTGAATATATATTTGTATGTTTGATTTAGAATAAAATTATGCATCTTAGCATAAGCCAACGGACCCTTTAGTTCTAATAGCATTAAAATTATAATTTTAAATAGTTTTTCAAACTATTTTAATTCTAGTCTCCGAGCAAGAAATTGACAGGGAAGTATTATATTTCGTTCCATTTTATTTTACCATACATATTTGGCTTTCCTTTATTTAGTCTTTTATCTGGAAAAAATTTCCCCGTTGTTACGATTACGAAAGTGTTTGATAGCCATCATATATTGTCAAAATATCACCAGAGGGTCAAACTGTATGTTCTTCTGTTAACCTTGCCAGAGGGTCAGACTCTAGGTGTTCCTGTTGACCTTGCACGGCGGTCAGACTCGAGCAGTGGCTCGAGTGGCTTGGTGGCTTCGTCTGAGGTCGCAGGCGACGGCCGCGGGCATCATGAGCCAGAGGACGATGGCGGTAGACATTATGGCGGCCAAAACCCATAAACTTATAGCGTAGCTTCCGCTCGCGTCACGGATGAACCCTGTACAATATGGTACAATATGCAACGCTCAATTACGCAACAATATTGATACTGGGCGTTCTCATACTCCTTAAACAGTTTTATTATCATTTTGAAACATGTAAATATGTACAAACTTACTTACATAACTTGAAATAAATACCTGTGAGTGAGCCGAAGATAGGAAAACCAAACCCAGTTATTAAGCTGGTGACCCCGAACGTCGCTGGCTGCTTTTCTACACCCATAAACTTTATAATTAATAAATTATTCAGAGTGACGGCAGAACCAAGACCGAAGCCAAAGACAGCCATGGCTACAGCTGCCAGCGTGACGGTCCTCAGGAAAGGGAACACTGTGGAAGGCAGGCAACAGTCATTACCTCACTGTGGTCACAGTCACACACGGCTAGTTGTCCCTTCTCATCAGTGTATGCACCTGTATATTGTACTGCTCCCAAGCCATAAATAGATATTTCAATTTCAGTTTCATTGTCTACAACCTTTATATGTTTCAATCTATTAATCCCTTAAACTGTCGTTCAGAAGAGTAAAGAATAGATTAGGTTTATAGTGAAATGTGCGCTCCAGACAAGGACGACGCAGAGGTGTAGACGGGGACGACACAGGTCCAGATGGGGACAACACAGATCCAGATGGGGACGACACAGATCCAGATGGGGACGACACAGGTCCAGATGGGGACGACACAGATCCAGATGGGGACGACACAGATCCAGATGGGGACGACACAGGTCCAGATGGGGACGAAACAGAGGTCCAGATGGGGACGACACAGATCCAGATGGGGACGACACAGGACCAGATGGGGACGACACAGGTCCAGATGGGGACGAAACAGGTCCAGATGGGGACGACACAGATCCAGATGGGGACGACACAGATCCAGATGGGGACGACACAGGTCCAGATGGGGACGATACAGATCCAGATGGTGACGACACAGGTCCAGATGGGGACGACACAGGTCCAGATGGGGACGACACAGGTCCAGATGGGGACAACACAGATCCAGATGGGGACGACACAGATCCAGATGGGGACGACACAGGTCCAGATGGGGACGACACAGGTCCAGATGGGGACGACACAGGTCCAGATGGGGATGACACAGATCCAGATGGGGACGACACAGATCCAGAATGGGGACGACACAGGTCCAGATGGGGACGACACAGATCCAGATGGGGACGACACAAGTCAAGATGGGGACGACACAGGTCCAGATGGGGACGACACAAGTCCAGATGGTGACGACACAGGTCCAGATGGGGACGAAACAGAGGTCCAGATGGGGACGACACAGATCCAGATGGTGACGACACAGGACCAGATGGGGACGACACAGGTCCAGATGGGGACGACACAGGTCCAGATGGGGACGACACAGGTCCAGATGGGGACGACACAGAAGTCCCCTTCAAAAATCTATGTATGATAAACATACACATACTCCACACATTATGTAATGTTTTGTGCACTTAGAAAGCTTCTTCCAAGATGGATGTATCAGGACCCGTGAACATCACGCCAGATAGAACTATGGGTTTGACGTTAATAGAGACCTGACGTATGGAACCCCATTCATAATGCTGTAAAAATTTGCTCACCCTATACTTTTTGCAAAAGTGAAATAAAGGGATCTAATTTGCTCGCCACAGTACCCTACCTTGTGCTACTAACCCACCCCCCCCCCACCTATGGGGGGGGGGGGGGCGTGGATGTTGTACTTTTAAAGTACATTATCAAAAACATGTACTGTACCATATAAACATATAACACCGTGATCGGTATATAATTTCTCATTATCGTCCTTGCCCTTATTACTAATGATGCATACATTATCCACTATGTGACTAATTGTTAACTCTCAAACTACTGCAATTAATCATTGTCTATTCTGTCACTAGTTTTATTTAATTGCTTAAGATTGACAGTTTATCTTGTAACTTACAAATCACTGCACATTCTCAATGCTAACCTGAACTTCCTTGTTAGCTTTAATACTTGCCAAAACGCTGTTCATGTTAGTGTCATTATGAGAATGTATCACATAATCACCCAAATCCCAACATGCTAAACATATGTTCTGATACCAGATTTACGAGCTAGGGGCTCTCTACACTTAAATGACACAACTATTTGTGTTCAGAGGCTCCTTACACTTAAATGACACAACTGTGTGTGTTCCAGAGGCTTTACAGAGGCTCCTTACACTTAAATGACACAACTATTGTGTGTTTCAGTGTTCCAGAGGCTCCTTACACTTAAATGACACAACTATTTGTGTTCCAGAGGCTCCTTACACTTAAATGGCACAACTATGTGTGTTCCAGAGGCTCCTTACACTTAAATGACACAACTATTTGTGTTCCAGAGGCTCCTTACACTTAAATGACACAACTATGTGTGTTCCAGAGGCTCCTTACACTTAAATGACACAACTATTTGTGTTCCAGAGGCTCCTTACACTTAAATGGCACAACTATGTGTGTTCTAGGGGCTCCCTACACTTTAATGGCACAACTATGTGTGTTCCAGAGGCTCCTTACACTTAAATGGCACAACTATTTGTGTTTCCTTAGAGGCTCCTTACACTTAAATGGCACAACTATGTGTGTTCCAGAGGCTCCTTACACTTAAATGGCACAACTATGTGTGTTCCAGAGGCTCCTTACACTTAAATGACACAACTATGTGTGTTCTAGGGGCTCCCTACACTCTAATCGCACAACTTTACTCTTTTATTGTGTCGATTCGGGCACCACTGGGTACCCTATCAAGTAAATATATAACTGTATCCCATAATTTTAATTGCTTTATTTCGAATATTTATCTGTTGATTTATTATGATCCCCAATTATCATAATTCCTAATTCTTTTTCGTATTCTAATTATGCAATTCCAATGTTATTGAGCTGATATTCAGTTATTTTTCATTCAAATTTCTTACGCTAAGACTCCTATATTTGTCAGCATTAAACTGCATCTTCCGGTCTTTCGTCCATTGTTAAAGCCTATTATATCTTTTACTGATGTTCTCAGAATTTATTCCTAACCTTATTTTGCATCTTCAGTAAATTTAATGTTAAATAAGTGTTAAAATGCGTCTTCAGTAAATGTTACTAAATTTAAACCAAACACTCACTACGCACACTGGTGCTAAGCCAGTAACACGTGGACATGCCTCGAACCAGGCTACGTGACCAAGCCTCGCATCAGGCTACGTGGACATGCCTCGCATCAGGCTACGTGACCAAGCCTCGCATCAGGCTACGTGACCAAGCCTTGCATCAGGCTACGTGACCAAGCCTTGCATCAGGCTACGTGACCAAGCCTTGCATCAGGCTACGTGACCAAGCCTTGCATCAGGCTACGTGACCAAGCCTTGCATCAGGCTACGTGACCAAGCCTTGCATCAGGCTACGTGACCAAGCCTTGCATCAGGCTACGTGACCAAGCCGTGAACGGAAAGACAGTAGACACAATTACAAGTTATTAGGCTTGGGGCAGATGAAGAAGACAGAAGAGAATGTTACTTGTATATATTCACAAATTAACAGCAAACATGATTTACATTTTAGTATCAACGTTAGTTAATTTATGTCATTAATATGTAAACAGGTCAGCACACATAAACAAATAAGACAAGAGTTGTTTTACCAAATATTGCAATTGTCATAATAGCGTAGCCGAAGAGGGCGCACAGTCGCATGTTGAATCTCTTCCAGTCGGCCAGGGGAGAGATGACTAGACGGGTCACCAGGTTGCAGAAACCCATCACAGAGATGCACCAAGCAGCGTCCTCGAGGCTGTGGCCGGCAGCTCGCATCGCAAAGGGTACCATCATTACAAAGTTGAAATAGCTGCTCAGGGAAAACAAGTTTCCAAAGGAAATAATAAGAGCACGATATGACCGAAGAACAACCATATCTGCCAATAATGTTTCTGTCACACGCATAATCAATCCTTTCAGTCTTAACATGCAACCCAAAGATGTATGATCTATTTCTCTGTCAACGGACCCGAGAGATTCAGTACTTGAAATAAATACCCCAAACGCAACGTCTCCTGACATGACTATGTTCAAGGAACTATGACTCTCACGGTGGCCATCAGCAGGTGCTGGCCTGAGTCTCTCGTCACCCTTGGCACTTGCTGATTCTGATTTCTCGTTGGGACGCTCTTCATCAACCACTAGAGGAGATACAATCACACACTCCCTATGACCCGAGCTTTCAGTTTGAGGCTTCAGAAGGGCGAGTCCTTCCTGTGGAGGATCTGTCTCTCCTCGTCGTGGCTTCATGTGCCACTTTACCGGCTGGAACAAAGTAACTGCCACTAAGCAATTCATCATAATTCCGCCCAATATAAGAGCTGCTCCTTTAAAGGTATACTGAGCAAGTAAGTAGCGTACTAACGGAGGATTGGCGGTCTGTCCCGCGCAGATCCCGACCACCAGGAAAGTGTTGGACAGGCCTCGTCGACGGTCAAAATACATAGGAAGCGTGATAAAGCTTACGCTACAGATAAGCCCTCCACCGATACCTGTGTTAGGGGAAAAATGCATTAACAATTATGTCTTGAATATGTGGTCGATGACGCATAGTCCGGGAGCCTCGTCTGGCAACACTGCAGTGCTCCTGAGAGCTGCATCTATCGAGGGCTGGGGTTGTTGCTGTTACGAACTCGTTGGAACCAGTGGTTAGAGGTGTTTGTTTGGGTTTAAACTGTTAGTAGATAGTGGTATGGGAATTGATATGGAGGAAGGAGGTAATAAAAGTATGTGTTCGTGGGAGAAAAAAATTGGCAAAATGATCAGGGAAAGAAAAGGGCCTCAAAATAACAATTCACTTAGGGTATATTACACTAACAGTAGAAGTCTAAGAAATAAAATTAACGAATTAAATGCACTTGACTGCACAGAAAAAAAATAGATATTATTGCACTTACCGAAACGTGGATGAATGTAGAAAATAGAGAACTATTAGCTGAATATCAAATAAATGGATTTAAACTATTTCACACAGATAGATATATTAGATGAGGAGGGGGAGTAGCCATATATGTTAGGGACAATTTGAAATGTAGTCTCAAAGAGGGAATCAAAACTGAGCCACACACAGAAACTATTTGGATAGAATTAAACGAAAAAGCAAATAATATTATAATAGGAGTTATATATAGGCCACCAAATTTAGACAGAATGGAAGCAAAGGATGAAATGAAGGATATGGGATGAAATATCTAGAGCATCTAGATCTAACAGTATTTATGTCATGGGTGACTTTAATTTTAGTGGAATAAACTGGGTGAACAAAACAGGGAATAGTGAAGCAGAAGATTTTCTAGAATTAATTGACGATTGCTTTCTTACGCAACACATTAAGGAACTAACGCGGGAAAATAATATTTTAGATTTAGTGTTAACTAACAGGGAAACACAAATTAATGACATCGAAATAGGGATTGAGCTAGGGAACAGTGATCACAAAGTAATCAGATTTAGCATAGAATGGAATAGACCTGTAGGAGAAAATTCTGTTAAAGTGCCAGATTTTCGAAAAGCTGATTTTAATAGCCTAAGAAATTTTTTGGGGTCAAATTGATTGGAAAGTCTTGGGTATGGGGTGTGGGCCGGTCTTGGAGCGAGACATGAACCCAGCGATAGGTGACGTAAAAGGGGATTTCGATGTGGATTTAATATATAACTTATTTAAGAATATTCTAAACAAAGCACAGGAACGTAGTATACCATACAAATTGAATACATCGAATACTAATGACCCAAAGTGGATAACAAAGAATTTAAAGAACCTTATAGGTAAATAGAGAGCTTGGTACAAAAGGATTAAGAATGGGGAAGTCAGTTTAGAACAGGAATTCATACAACTGGTTAGAAATGTTAAAAAAGAGATTAGGAAAGCAAAAAGAAACTATGAAGTTCGCATAGCAGAGCAAGCAAAGTCAAATCCTAAAGGTTTTTTTTAGTTATATCGAACTAAGACTAGGGAAAGGATAGATCCATTAAAATCTGAGACAAGTCAAATAACGGATAATGACAAGGAGATGAGTAGTATTTTTAACAAATATTTTATATCTGTATTTACTAAAGAAGAACTTAACAATATGCCTTCAGCCGAAAAAGTCTATGTGGGTGGGGATGAGGACAGGTTGACTAGTTTAGTAGTTACCAGGGAGGATGTAATTAAGCAATTAGAAAAACTAAAACCAAACAAATCCCCAGGGCCGAATGAAGTGTTTGCCAGGGTGCTTAAAGAATGCAAAGAGGAGCTTTCCGAGCCACTGTCTACCATATTTAATAAATCAATAGAGTCAGGCAGAGTGCCCGAGTCATGAAAGGTAGCTAATGTGGTACCAATTTTTAAGAAAGGAGATAGATCACTTGCGTCAAACTATCGGCCAATTAGCCTAACGTCTATTGTGGGAAAGTTACTTGAATCAATAATTGCAAATACAATTCGTCTCCATCTTGAAAAACAAATTAATAAATGTGTCGCAACATGGTTTTACAAATGGCCGTTCATGTTTAACAAATTTGCTAACTTTTTATTCCAGCATAGTTGAGGCAGTTGATAGTGGTAAGGATTGTGATGTTGTGTACCTTGACTTTAGCAAAGCTTTTGATACAGTGCCACATGAAAGACTAATTAAAAAAAATAGAAGCTCATGGTATTGGGGGTGCTATATTACCTTGGATTAGGGCATGGCTATTCCAAAGGAAACAGAGAGTTAGTATAAATGGGGTTAAGTCAGAGTGGGATAATGTTGTTAGTGGAGTACCTCAGGGCTCTGTCCTGGGACCTCTGTTGTTATAATATATATATGATTTAGATTCATTTGATTAGCAACATTACAAATTTGCCGATGATTCGCTAGGGAAATTAATTCGGAGGAGGACTACTATCACTTCAAGTTGATCATTTTTGAAATGGTCAAAGGATTGGCAAATGCAGTTTATGCTGATAAATGTAAAGTTCTGAGGCTAGGTAATGATGATAGAGTTAAAAGATACGAGCTAGATGGTGTTGAGATTGCGAAGTCGGATTGCGGAAGGGATCTGGGAGTTATGATTAGTTTTTAAAACAAAAGGATCATTGCATAAATGTTCGTATAAGGCAAATCGGACACTTGGATTTATTAATCGCAGCGTTAGTAACAAGACACCTGGTGTGGTTCTCAAGCTATATCTTGCTCTAGTTAGTCCCCATTTAGATTATGCAGTGTTTTGGTCGCCATATTATAGAATGGATATAAATACTTGAACGTGTCCAGCGTAAAATGAAATAAGTTAATTCCCCAAATGAAATCTTTCATATGAAGAAAGATTAACAAAGCTTAAGTTGCATTCACTGGAAAGGCGAAGAGTTAGGGGTGACATGATAGAGACAAGTGGGTGATGGACATAACAAAGGGGATATTAATAGGGTATTAAAAGTATCAACACAAGACAGAACACGAAACACTTGGGTAAATACTGGTTCAGTAACAGGGTTGTTGAGTGGAACCAATTACCGCGTAACGTGGTGGAGGTGGGGTCCCTCGATAAGCGCGGGTTGGACAAGTACCCTTGTATAGTAGGCCTTCTGCAGTCCTTTGTTCTTATGTTCTTATGTGAGCCCGAAGCTCTATCGACCGAGTTATCGAGTAGTAGTAGAATAGCTCGGTCGATAGAGTTTGGGCCTCACACGCGTGGGGTCCAGGGTTCGAATCTCCTACAGCCCAAGTGAATGGAATATTTATTTCTACGGAAGTGTGGATGACTTTTTTAGCTGAAATTGTTTAAACAAAACAGAAGAAAAGATTATATTATCTCATCAAATATTGACTTGAGTAAAAGATCAGATCACCAGCGATGTAAAGTCAAGGAGTGGTAGAAGTACCTATTCAGTGAAGCATTTATTCATTACTTTTTTGCATATTTTGGTTAGAATATTTAGATGAATACAGTTAAACTAATCCAACAAGAAGCAAACCAACTCACCACTCAGAAGAGAATAGGAGAAGAAGAGAAACTGCGCTGAGGGCGAGAACGCAGAGATAATAATTGAAGAAGAGACAAGTAAGCCTCCCAAGTAACCAATCCTCCTCCAGCCGAACTCCTTCGCCAGGGGACGGACGAGGGGTCCCATCAAGTGCCAGATGAGCCACTGCATGTTGAATATCCAGCTGGTGGTAGCAGAAGGAGTGTTCAGATCCAGCAGGAAGCCGGAGAATAAAATTCCGAAGCATGGAGCAAGAGACAGCGCCAACATCTGGGGGATGAGAGTTATACATTACGTCTATCTTGTTAGTACCCTTGGTACAGAGAGGAGGAGTGCGGAAGCCATCATTCCTTTCCCAGACTGTTACATCCAGGAGAGGCGGTTTACCTTTACTGTCCACCCCCCAAGTATCACCAAGTATAACCAAGCATTTCCTTCGATACTATATCATCATTCTTCAGTGCAGTAGACATCTGGTTGAAGGCCCAGATTAACCAGGACATTTTCTTCAACAATACCCATGTAAATATTCGCAAATTAGGACAGCAAGGGGGTCAGTCATGGCAAATTTATGTCCTATATGCAAGTGAGTACATGGCACTGAAACTTACCGAGATAATGAAACTGCCGAGTGCCACCAACCATCCCCAGCCTCCGTCAGGCACTACCATGCCACCTGTTGACTTCTCTGCCACGTCTAAATTGGTTAACGTTTGCTTTCCATCTGGGAAAACATTTCCTCGGTTAGTAGCACGGCTGCCTTGTGAGGCTGCTTCATGTGGTCGAGTTAAGGGCGTGTTGGGAGCGCACAACTGCGCCCCTGGATCTTTCCCGCCATCCGGACACTCCGTCTCGTCATTTTTTGGAAGACATTCATCTAACTCCCCTTCATTCCTCTTTATCTTACAATTTTCACAAGACAGATTGTTATCTGTATCACATTTCTCACAGGTTTCAATATTACTTTCATCGCTGGTTATCTTCTGGTCCGCGGTCTGGGCACTCGACTCCTGCCTTGTGACACCCGTCATTTTCCATCTATTCTCGTTGGGTTTACAGATGACAGTAGTATGTCATCGGCCCCTCTGTGACCGGACCCTGCTCCTCTCTCGCACCTCGCACACTGGGCTTCGTCTCTCCTGGGCGCTCTCCGTCACATCTCCTGCACTCGACCTGCGAACACAACGATACGAGGTAAAATGTAAAGAATGTGTATCAGGTTGTTTTCATCAACATATATAAATCACTGAAGTTAGCACTATGTATGCGTGCTAGCACCTCCGCGGTACACCCTGGTGAGCGTGCTAGCACCTCCGCGGTACACCCTGGTGAGCGTGCTAGCACCTCCGCGGTACACCCTGGTGAGCGTGCTAGCACCTCCGCGGTACACCCTGGTGAGCGTGCTAGCACCTCCGCGGTACACCCTGGTGAGCGTGCTAGCACCTCCGCGGTACCCCACCTGGTTCTATTTCATCGATTTCCGTATGTACTATATACGTCTGGATCATGTCCCCTCTATTCCTCCTTTCTTCCAGTTCAATTTAGTTTAGTTATTTTCAGTCTATGTTGGTATCTCAACCTCATCAATTTTGGAAGTAATCGTGTGGCAAACCTCTATATTTTAATAATGTTTACTTTAGACTCTATTACTCACCTAACATATGAGATGTAAATCATGTTGAATGTTATTGTGTTTAGGTTCCTAAACGCTGCCCTGTGTTTGCAGGCTCAGCTTATGCAGCTGAATAGAAGTGAGGGAATATTTGCGTCTGAGTTATTAGGGCTTGACACCGTAAGTGGGAAACACAGCAGGTCTATTGCACTCATATTAAACAGGTCCAGGAGACATTCATTCACATCTTAATGCGAGGTGAAAAGTCACTCTGGTAGCTGTGTTGTGGTAGCTGTGTGGTGGTAGCTGTGTTGTGGTAGCTGTGTGGTGGTAGCTGTGTTGTGGTAGCTGTGTTGTGGCAGCTGTGTTGTTGTAGCTGTGTTGTTGTAGCTGTGTTGTGGCAGCTGTGTTGTGGTAGCTGTGTGGTGGTAGCTGTGTTGTGGTAGCTGTGTTGTGGCAGCTGTGTTGTTGTAGCTGTGTTGTGGTAGCTGTGTTGTGGCAGCTGTGTTGTGGCAGCTGTGTTGTTGTAGCTGTGTTGTGGTAGCTGTGTTGTTGTAGCTGTGTTGTGGTAGCTGTGTTGTGGTAGCAGTGTTGTGGAAGCTGTGTTGTGGCAGCTGTGTTGTGGAAGCTGTGTTGTGGCAGCTGTGTTGTGGTAGCTGTGTTGTGGTAGCTGTGTTGTGGTAGCAGTGTTGTGGCAGCTGTGTTGTGGTAGCTGTGTTGTTGTAGCTGTGTTGTTGTAGCTGTGTTGTGGTAGCTGTGTTGTTGTAGCTGTGTTGTGGTAGCTGTGTTGTGGTAGCAGTGTTGTGGAAGCTGTGTTGTGGCAGCTGTGTTGTGGTAGCTGTGTTGTGGTAGCAGTGTTGTGGAAGCTGTGTTGTGGCAGCTGTGTTGTGGTAGCTGTGTTGTGGTAGCAGTGTTGTGGCAGCTGTGTTGTGGTAGCTGTGTTGTTGTAGCTGTGTTGTGGTAGCTGTGTTGTTGTAGCTGTGTTGTTGTAGCTGTGTTGTGGCAGCAGTGTTGTTGTAGCTGTGTTGTGGCAGCTGCGTTGTGGTAGCTGTGTTGTTGTAGCTGTGTTGTGGTAGCTGTGTTGTGGTAGCTGTGTTGTGGCAGTTGTGTTGTGGCAGCTGTGTTGTTGTAGCTGTGCTGTGGCAGCTGTGTTGTTGTAGCTGTGTTGTGGTAGCTGTGTTGTTGTAGCTGTGTTGTGGCAGCTGTGTTGTGGCAGCTGTGTTGTTGTAGCTGTGTTGTGGCAGCTGGCAGCTGTGTTGCTGTGTTGTGGCAGCTGTGTTGTGAAAGCTTGTGTTGTGGCAGCTGTGAAAGCTGTGTTGTGGCAGCTGTGTTGTGGCAGCTGTGTTGTGGCAGCTGTGTTGTGGCAGCTGTGTTGTGGCAGCTGTGTTGTGGCAGCTTGTGAAAGCTTGTGTTGTGGCAGCTGTGTTGTGGCAGCTGTTGTGGCAGCTGTGGTGGAAGCTGTGTTGTGGCAGCTGTGTTGTGGAAGCTGTGTTGTGGTAGCTGTGTTGTGGCAGCTGTGTTGTGGCAGCTGTGAAAGTTTGTTGTAGCTGTGTTGTGGTTGTGGCAGCTGTGTTGTGGTAGCTGTGTTGTGGCAGCTGTGTTGTGGCAGCTGTGTTGTGGTAGCTGTGTTGTGGCAGCTGTGTTGTGGCAGCTGTGTTGTGGTAGCTGTGTTGTGGTAGCTGTGTTGTGGTAGCTGTGTGTGGCAGCTGTGTTGTGGCTGTGTTGTGGCAGCTGTGTTGTGGCAGCTGTGGTTGTTGTGGTGAAAGTGTTGTGGTTGCTGTGTTGTGGAAGCTGTGTTGTGGCAGCTGTGTTGTGGCAGCTGTGTTGTGTGAAGCTGTGTTGTGGCAGCTGTGTTGTGGTTGTGGTAGCTGTGTGGCAGCTGTGTGTGGCAGCTGTGTTGTGGCAGCTGTGTTGTGGTGCTGTGTGTGGCAGCTGTGTTGTTGGTTGAGCTGCTGTGAAAGCTTGGTTGTGGCAGCTGTGTGGTAGCTTGTTGTTGTGGCAGCTGTGTTGTGGTAGCTGTTGTGGCAGCTGTGTTGTTGGTTGTGGCAGCTGTGAAAGCTGTGTTGTGGTAGCTGTGTTGTGGTAGCTGTGTTGTGGCAGCTGTGTTGTGGTAGCTGTGTTGTGGCAGCTGTGTTGTGGTGCTGTGGTTGTGGCAGCTGTGTTGTGCTGGTTGTGGCAGCTGTGAAAGCTGTGTTGTGGCAGCTGTGTTGTTGTAGCTGTGTTGTGGCAGCTGTGTTGTTGGTTGTAGCAGCTGTGAAAGCTTGTGTGTGGCAGCTGTGTTGTTGGTAGCTGTGTTGTGGTAGCTGTGTTGTGGCAGCTGTGTTGTGCTGGTTGTGGCAGCTGTGAAAGCTAGCTTGTGTTGCTGTGTGTGTTGTGGCAGCTGTGTTGTGGCAGCTGGTTGTGGCAGCTGTGTTGTGGCAGCTGTGTTGTGGCAGCTGTGTTGTGGCAGCTGTGTTGTGGCAGCTGTGAAAGCTGTGGCTGTGTTGTGGCAGCTGTGTTGTGGCAGCTGTGTTGTGGTAGCTGTGTTGTGGTAGCTGTGTTGTGGCAGCTGTGTTGTGGCAGCTGTGTTGTGGCAGCTGTGTTGTGGCAGCTGTGTTGTGGTAGCTGTGTTGTGGCAGCTGTGTTGTGGTAGCTGTGTGTGTGGCAGCTGTGTTGTGGTAGCTGTGTTGTGGCAGCTGTGAAAGCTGTGTTGTGGCAGCTGTGTTGTTGCAGCTGTGTGTGGTAGCTGTGTTGTGGCAGCTGTGTTGTGAAAGCTTGGTTGTGGCAGCTGTGAAAGCTTGGTTGTGGCAGCTGTGTTGTGGCAGCTGTGTGGTTGAGGCAGCTGTGAAAGCTGTGTTGTGGCAGCTGTGAAGCTGTGTTGTGGCAGCTGTGTTGTGGCAGCTGTGTTGTTGTAGCTGTGTTGTGGCAGCTGTGTTGTGGCAGCTGTGTTGTTGTAGCTGTGTTGTGGCAGCTGTGTTGTGGCAGCTGTGTTGTTGTAGCTGTGTTGTGGCAGCTGTGTTGTTGTAGCTGTGTTGTGGCAGCTGTGTTGTGGCAGCTGTGTTGTTGTAGCTGTGTTGTGGCAGCTGTGAAAGCTGTGTTGTGGCAGCTGTGTTGTGGCAGCTGGTTGTGGCAGCTGTGTTGTGCTTGCTGTTGTGGCAGCTGTGTTGTTGTAGCTGTGTTGTGGCAGCTGTGTTGTGGCAGCTGTGTTGTGGCAGCTGTGTTGTTGTGGCAGCTGTGTTGTGGTTGCTGTGTTGTTGTGAAGCTGTGTTGTGGCAGCTGCAGCTGTGTTGTTGCAGCTGTGTTGTGAAGCTGTGTTGTGGCAGCTGTTGTAGCTGTGTTGTGGCAGCTGTGTTGTTGGTAGCTGTGTTGTGGCAGCTGTGTTGTGGCAGCTGTGTTGTGGGTTGTGGTGCTGTGGTGGCTGTGTTGTGGCAGCTGTGTTGTTGTGGTTGCTGTGTTGTGGTAGCTGTGTTGTGGCAGCTGTGTTGTGGTAGCTTGTGTTGGTGAAGCTGGTTGTGGCAGCTTTGTGTTGTTTGTGGCAGCTGTGTTGTTGTAGCTGTGTTGTGGCAGCTGTGTTGTGGTAGCTGTGTTGTGGCAGCTGTGTTGTGGTTGTGTTGTGGCAGCTGTGAAAGCTGTGTTGTGGCAGCTGTGTTGTTGGTTGTGGTGTTGTGGTAGCTGTGTTGTGGCAGCTGTGTTGCTTGGTAGCTGTGCTGTGGTAGCTGTGTTGTGGCAGCTGTGTTGTTGGTAGCTGTGTTGTGGCAGCTGTGTTGTGGCAGCTGTGTTGTGGCTTGTGTTGTGGCAGCTGTGTTGTGGCAGCTGTGTGGTGTTTGTGGCAGCTGTGTGTTGGTTGTGGCAGCTGTGAAAGCTGTGTTGTGGCAGCTGTGTTGTTGTAGCTGTGTTGTGGCAGCTGTGTTGTTGGTTGCTGTGTTGTGGCAGCTGTGTTGTGGCAGCTGTGTTGTGGCAGCTGTGTTGTGGTAGCTGTGTTGTGGCAGCTGTGTTGTTGGTTGCTGTGTTGTGAAAGCTGTGTTGTGGCAGCTAGCTGTGTTGTGGTAGCTGTGTGTTGCTGTGTTGTGGGCAGCTGTGTTGTTGTTGCTGTGCAGCTGTGAAAGCTGTGTTGTGGCAGCTGTGTTGTGGCAGCTGTGGTTGTGGCAGCTGTGTTGAAAGCTGTGTTGTGGCAGCTGTGTTGTTGTAGCTGTGTTGTGGTAGCTGTGTTGTTGCAGCTGTGTTGTTGTAGCTGTGTTGTGGCAGCTGTGTTGTGGCAGCTGTGAAAGTGTTGTTGTAGCTGTGTTGTGGTAGCTGTGTTGTGGCAGCTGTGTTGTTGCTTGTGTTGTGGTAGCTGTGCTTGTTGTGGCAGCTGTGAAGCTGTGTTGTGGCAGCTGTGTTGTTGTAGCAGCTGTGTTGTTGTAGCTGTGTTGTGGTAGCTGTGTTGTGGCAGCTGTGTTGTGGTAGCTGTGTTGTGGCAGCTGTGTTGTGGCAGCTGTGTTGTGGCAGCTGTGTTGTGGCAGCTGTGTTGTGTTGTGTGTGGCAGCTGTGTTGTGGCAGCTGTGTTGTGGTTGCTGTGTTGTGAAAGCTGTGTTGTGGCAGC